ATCTAAGCTCTAAGAAACATAAAATTGTAGAATGTTTTGGGTTGGAAGGGACCTTTAAAAATCATTTAGTCCAACTCTCCTGCCTATGCAGAGACACCTTCCACTAGACCAAGTTGCTCCAAGTGCTGTCCAACCTGGCCTTGAACACTGCCAGGGATGGGGCAGCCACAGCTTCTCTGGGCAACCTCTTCCAGTGTCTCATCACCCTCACTAAAAAAATGTCTTCTTTATGTCAAACCTAAATTTCTCTACTTTGTTTAAAGCCATTGCCCCTTGTCCTGTCATTATAGGCGTTGGTATAAAGTCTGAGATCTTTCCCCTCTTTCCTATCTGAACTGTTTTTTATCTTAAGATAATGGCACAAGACTTGAAATTGGTGACTCGGGGGTGAGACTGATGTGTATAAGGGTCAGTCAGTCACTCATCAAAACTGAAGTTGGAACATGCTGTTGACTTCTGTGGGCATTTGGGTATCACTAGAGCCTTTGGGGATAAAGGGAGAGTTGCCAGCAGATCAGTGAATGAGCATTAAAAGAGCTTAAACAGTGAAAGATTTTTCATCTGTGTGAGAAGAAATACAAAAAGCATGGATATAGCACAGTGTGAGGATAGGAAGAAGGTGAAGGTCAAGTACAGGCTAGCAATAGTGTGCATTTTTTTGCCTCCTTTTTTCAGTAAGGTTGAAACAGCTATTGGGAATCACAGATTGGAAACAAAACTGGGAGTTCAGTGCACTTGAGTCAAGCACAGGAAGCTGTGGGCACAGCAGTGAGGAGTTTTAATAAACTGATCAAGTACAAATGTGGTATACACAACCACAGAATACTCAGTGGGAGAGGGAGTCTAGTGATATTCAAACTGAGTATGAATGCAGTGGTGTGTAGGGGTTTTCTGGCAAAGAATAATGGAAGAACTACAGGTAAGTGGGAAAATGGGATAAAACACAGAAGTTACCAGAGAGCCAGTGAGCTTTGTACCTGTGTTTGTTACATAAGAGAACTTGTTTTTCTAGACAAAGGCAATGCAGTGCATCAAATGTTGTTGGGCTCCAGTAAGGCATCAGATACTGTTCCAGTGGGAAATCAGTGGAGATAGGGATGTACTACTGTACAGTAACTAGATGGCTACCATGGCTACTATTAAAAGGGAGGCTACCATTATTTTTCCTCAAGAATTCATCTTGGATAAGCCTGGTCTTTTTAAGTGCTTGCCTCAGTCTCTTTGCGGGAAAAATTACAAGCTTACTGGTGATGTTTTGTTATGCAGAACATGCCAGGGAGGCACAGATCGTGTAGGCAAGAATCGGAAAGTCTGTCTTATGGGAAAGGCTGGCTGACCACATGCACTGGAGGAATCGGTATTTAGAAGGACCAATAAGGATGCATAACTGCATCTCATGAAGGGCTCGGTGGTTTGAAACAGTAGTATCAAGTGGGGCTTTTGGCTTGGGGACATGGGCTAGGGGATGAAAAGCTTTGGGAATGATGAAGTCAGATGCACAGGACACTGACAGATAATGGGAACAGGTTGCCCAGAGAAGCTGTGGCTGCCCCATCCTTGGCAGCTCCACGGCCAGGCTGGATGGGGCCTGGAGCAGCCTGGTCTAGTGGAAGGTGTCCCTGCCTGTGGCAGGGGCTTGGAACTAAATGAGTTTGAAAGTCCCTTCCAAACTAAACCATTCTATGATTCCATGCCTGGGTTTTGCATAACTAAATCTAGACTGTATGGTGAATCTAAAGGAACTGCAGGAGGAAACAGGTCCTGTTCACAACAGATCTGCTTTTTTTCAGGGTAAAATGTGTTTCTGGGAAGTGGTCAGGCTTGTTTGCTTACTGTATTTCTTGGGACACTGACTGTCAGTTTGTGGGTGTACATATGCAATCCTAGGGCAGAAGAATTACCGCTGTACCCTCTGTGACAAGTCGTTCACCCAGAAGGCTCACCTGGAATCGCACATGGTCATCCACACTGGGGAGAAGAACCTCAAGTGCGATTACTGTGAAAAGCTGTTCATGCGGAGGCAAGACCTAAAGCAGCATGTACTCACTCACACGCAGTAAGTGATCCCACAGGATGCATTGGACTTGGCCAGTGCAATATATAATGAAGCTGGACAGTCTGAGAGAGAATCTCAAGTTTGCAAATAGTTTGGCCTATGGAGTACAGGCTCATTCTCCGAAATGACAGAGAAGTCAAGGTGGACAAATTTCTTGTTACTGGCTGGAGTTGTCCTGTTCTAGTCTTCACAGTGTTTTAATGACAGTAAATTCCAGACATGCACCTTTTCCTGTGAAATGGCATTTTGGAGTGTTCATCATTTTGGAGAGAGAGGGGGTTAGCTGATTTACATTTAGTTCTCTGCTGAGAATGCAACCCCAATCATAGATCATACAAATCAAAATCATAAAACTCCTCAATGTTATCCTAACTGGTTTGCACCTGGGGTGGGGTGCAGCCATTCCCACCTTTTACCTCCCCCCCAGGTCTCATACATGCACCTCGTCTCCTGCTCCTCCTGCAGGGAGATGTCCATGGTCAGGGCAGATCCCTACCCACAGGTCCTCCTACTCCGGACCTACAGGTCTTCCCCTGCCCCTCAGCTCTCTGCCAGGCCAGATCTTTCCTTCTGCTGTGAGGTTTTTCCATCCTGCTTTGTTACTCCCAAGACAAGGTCTTCCCTTAAAGGCTGTTCACCCAAAGCCATTCATTTTGCTTACTTTGTTTTCAGCATCTGTTTGTTGTACTCGCTTGGAATTGATTGTTACTTCTTTAATGCTGCCTAGGAGACAGGATAGTACAGCTAGCATGAGTGAGGGGCAGACAGACAGTCTTGCTTGGCTGCTTGTTCTTATGCCCAGAGCACTACTGCTGGGAGGTGTTTTGCAGAGTCATCTTCAGAATTTGACTGCTGCAATCTGGTAAGCCTCTGCTTGGCATTTACAGACCGAGGGTTGTTAACACTCGGCAGCTTTGTTTGCTTCATTGTTCTTTCCCTGCCCCCCTGCACCCATTTATGCAGGGTGGGAGGGTAGGAAGGCCGGAGACCAGCCTTTCCACCATGGCAACATTTCTTCCCCTGCCAAAACATGGAGCTCAACCAGAGCTGTGTCTTACTCAACAAACAAACAAACAAAACCCTTGTAGAATTCTTTCTTTTTCAGTTCATCATTGGGAAAGAACAATTGGTCCCAAGCTAGCAGTTAACCTAAAAAGCCAGACTTTTGCCTCAGGGAAGATGGATGTGTGTGTACTGTGTGAGAAAACTGAGCAGTATTTACACTAGTAGCACTGTTATTTTTGGTCTGCTCCTCCTTCAGGTATATTGAAAGTAAGATTTAGGAGTCAGACTGACCCTTTCACCCTTCCTATCACCACCCACCCCGCTATTTAATACAGGAACAGCTGCCTTGTAGCAGGAGCAGACTGTAACTAACTTTATCATGTCTTACAGAGAACGGCAGATCAAGTGCCCCAAGTGTGACAAGCTGTTTCTGAGGACAAATCACCTGAAGAAGCATCTCAATTCACATGAAGGAAAGAGGGACTATGTCTGTGAAAAATGCTCCAAGGCTTATCTAACCAAATATCACCTCACTCGCCACTTAAAAATATGTAAAGGCCCTGCATCCAGCCTGTCAGCCCCAGAGGAGGAAGAGGAAGACGATTCAGAGGAGGAATTAATAGACTCTATAAGGACCGAAGACTGTAGGATTAACAATGGGGTCTATTCAACTGGTGATGCCCTCTCTGGACACAAATGAAGAAAAGCGAGAGGGAAATATCCTTGGATATTGTAACTTGAGAAGGCAAAACACCCTCTTCTTTGTTTTCCCAGTCAACAGCGTATGTCAGATGAGGATTTTTCCTTCTGTTTTTGTCTCCACACTACCACTGCTTATTAAACTGTAGCCAGAACACTGAATGAGAATGGATCATGCACATACAAGTCAAGAGTTGCTAAGAAGGAAATGTGAGGCAAGCAGACTTTTTCACACACACTGTGCATACTTCCTCTTCCAAATCACTCAGATTAATCCATCCAGTGCCGGGATACATGACACACCTTGCATAGCCCTTTGAATAAAGAGCCACAAACCAGAAGAGATGTAGTTGAGTGATTGCAGTGACCTGTAAGCCAAATGTCCTTAGCTGCCAAAGCCATGACAATGAGAGAAATGAACAAAAAATGGTGGTGGCATGTGAGGTATTTTGCTTTTTAATACTTTTTAACTGAAAGATGTGGTTTGGTACAAAGCAAAGACTTAGCAATGTTCAGGTCTCCTTCTTAAAGAAAACCTCAAACAGCTTTGGTTAAAGAAAAAAAAAATCCCATGAAATCAGCAAAAATCAGCATTTGCAGACAAAGCAATTACCCCAGTACAGAAAATCAGACATTGGCTTTCGGAGAAGAGTTACTGCCTCTTCTTGCTCTGGTTCACGAGAACATGGCAGCAGGTGAAGACATAAAGACTGTACAGTAAGGAGGAGGCTTACAGATGCTCAGATGGTGTTTACAGTATATATTACTTCTCATGCTGTAAACCTTGTACCACCTGGAATGATGGGAGGGTTTGCTGCTAACATTATTTATGTAATTAAGATGTATTTTTACTTGGTGGTTTTCCTTTGAAAAAATTAAAAATGTGGCTCTTTTCTAATGGTTTTGAGTTTTTTTTAATATTTACACATTCTTAAGAAAAAGGATCCCATTTGTGATAGTAATGCTAAGAGAAAGAACACAACTTTTTCATCACCTGTACGCTGTATTTCCTAGGGAGATCCCAAAGAATCCCATGATAAATGCATGTTGCTTGCCCTCTGAGATCAGAATGTGAATAAAAAGCTCCAGAAGGACAGGTTGAGGGATTTTGTCTAGTCAAGGGAAAGATGTGTTGCTTGCAGTAACACAATTTCTTCCCAAAACAAAAAGCAACATCTAGTGCTATGGTGGAAATTAGTACCAGAGGTACAGGTAACAGAAACAACTACCCTCCAAGAGCTTAACACAAAGCATTTATTTCGAGGGAAAGCTTTGAAAAACTTGCAGATTTTCAGTGGAGAGCACTTGAACAGAGGTGGTTTTGATGCCTTCACCTTCTTCAGCTTCACAAAAGTGGTGGTTCATTTACTGTCCACATCACGTCCTTCACTACTGCTTGGACTGCAGCAGGAATCCCAACACAAAGTATTCTTGGTTCCTGCAGAGCCATGCTAGGTACATGCCACCAGACTAGAAGCAACTAAATAGAACTTAGAAGCAGCCATTTAACTTAAAGGGGTTGGAAGCAAACTGCCAGCCCTGCCTTTTCGCCATCTGCATTTTGTATTGATAGAGTCAATCTGCCTCACCTCACCAGGAGTTACAGTGAGCTGGGATGGGAAGTGGTGGTAAGATCCCATCAACAACAGGCCCCAACACTATGGCTGCTTTGATACCCAGGGACTTCTTGCAGCAGCACCACCTCAACAGACAGAGATACCTTCCACTATGAAGACAGGGAAACACATCCCAGGAGGACACAATAATCACTGGCCTGGGGTAAGGCACTTGGGTGTTTTAGGTCACATTCCCATGGCAGGGGGGTTGGAACTAGATGATCTTAAGGTCCTTTCCACCCCACCCTAACCTATGATTAAAGTCAGCAGTTAGGGTGATTATACTCAAAACGTTCCTTTGTGCCTTCAGGTTTCAGGCAGAAATGCCTGGGAGGAGTTAGGAACATGAGCACGCAACATGGTCAGCTTTCACCAGTGACAGTGACAAGCTGAGATCCCCACCCTTGCTTTGTGTCCTGACAGCCTCTCGCCCTCTTCTGAGTAGTAACCCCTTACTTCAGTTCAAATTGTCTTCATATATATGTAACATCTGGAGCTTGAAGAAAAACCCAGTGCACATGTGACATTAACAAGCTTCAGCTGCTGTGGAACCACAAAAAAGAACCCCTTGATCTTGATGGGATAGATATGGGATATTTCTGGTTTGATACTGGTGATCTAAGGTGTTACAAAGGCATTTCAAGATCCTACTCGGGGACTCCCAACTTACTGCCCAAGAAACACTCAAGACTTAGGGAAGTTACATAGAACTTTTAAAATCTGTATTAGGAATCTGTAAATCTAGCCTCAAATCAAGTATAAATTATCTATTTACACTTGTCATTTCATTTAACTTTTGTTTTTTTTATTACACACCTGCTGGCTGAAGTATTTTTCCTTATGCCTTTAGAAGATATTTACCTTTGTAGTATTCAAACTTCTGGTAGTAGCAAAGTACTCTTCTAGTGCCTGTTTCAGTTTATGTATCAACTTTACACATAGTACTTCCTGTTACAGGGATCATAATCTCAGGCAAAAAGCAAGTCATTTAATCTTTCACAGCTAGTAACAGAGGCAGGAACTTAGAACTGCTGACTTAGAGCTTGACCCCATCACCGTATTTCTTCAAGATGAAGAAGCCTGCAGATTGCAGGACACCAGAGTAATTCCTATGAACTCTCACCAAATGGCAGGACTTGCAGAATCCACATTAGTCATAGTGCCGTTAATTACTTTGATTTTTGATGTTTGGTCCATCAGGATTCCATTGCTGTCTCTGAATTGTTGCTGCTGCTGCTGCTGGCAACAGGGTTGGCGTTTACCAGAACAAGTCTCTCTCTGTTTCCAAAAACTTCATTCACTGCAAAACAGATGGGAACATGCTATTCTCCCAGAGGCAAGAGAACTACAGCAGGTGGAGCATGGTGAGCATCATGGAATGGAATGGAAAACCTAACTTGGCGCCATTGCAAAGCTTTTCCCCTTCCCCTGTGTAGGGAGTTAAAGCTTACACATCAGAACAATCTCCCACGTATGATACTTAAATTACAAGTCCTGTTATTTCTCCTCCAAAGCATCTCTAGAGGTTTCCCTCTGTATAATTCCTGTGCCTAAGTACTGTGAAATGGATGAGTTTTGTAGTGCAAAACATTATGTTTAAATAATTTATTTCTGGTTTTAGTCTCTCTGGTTTCCACCAAGCTCTTAAGAGCCTTCTCCAGAAATTCACACCGTTTAGTTACATGTAGCTACCACCACCAATCAAACCCAGTCCTCACTTTTATGCCTACAAGTACTCAAGAATGTGGTACTCGATTACACCAGGAACATTAAGAACAAAGTAAAACATTGGTATTACAAGAAATCAGGTATTACACTTCAGCTACAAGAAAATCATGTGGCAAACACAGGTCTCCAAGTTAGAAAAACCCACATTTTTTGAAGCTGAAAATGTGAACACACCTGCAGCCTCGGGGCATTTAAAAATACTAACCTAGTTACTCTCAGAGCCACAGTACATCACTGAATATACAAATACACCCTGGGGGCAAGGGGAGTATCGTAAGATCCAAAGAAATGAGAATGTTACCTGCAGAAATCTTGCTAATATCCCACACACGCAGCCCTTCTCGCTCTCCTCCAAAGGCAAAAACAAATGGGAGGTCAGGGCAGCAAGCCGCGCAGAAGAGAACACCCTGGGAAGATGCAAGGGAAAAAAAAGAGGAGACTGTTTAAAACCCACCATCCCAAAATGAATCTGTCATCTGAAAATCCCAAGCAAGTTTTAAGAAATGTAATCTCTCTAAGTTTCTGTCCTGGGTTCAGCAGTCACAGTCATTTTTCTCCTTCTTAGTAGCTGGTGCAGTGCTGTGTTTTTGACTTTCAGCCTGGGAACAGCGCTGATAACACCAGTGTTTTTAGTTGCTGCTCAGTAATGTTTACTCTGACCAAGGACTTTCTCAGTCTCACGCTCTGCCTGGGAGGAGGAAAAGCCGGAAGGAAGCAGAGACAGGACACCTGACTCAAACTAACCAAAGAGGTATTTCATACCACAGCACATCATGCCCACTATATAAACTGGGGGCAGTTACCCGGAAGGGCTAGATCACTGCTCGGGTCAGGCTGGGTATCGGTTGGTGGGTGGTGAGCGGTTGTACTCTCTTCCCTTGTTATTTCCCTTATCATTATTATTACTGGTGGTAGCAGCAGTGGTTTGTGTGTAGTGTGGGAGGGGAGGGAGCGAATGGTTGCATGGTTCTGGGTTGCCGGCTGGGCTTAAACCACAACAGTTTCCTGATTTTGTGAAGACACAAAATTAAAGTCAAGAGCTGCTAGTTACAAACAGTGAATCACATCTTTGTCTTGAACCTGGAAGTTACACGTTGGAGCACCTACAATTCTACTCAGAATGTTGCATCTGATATTCAGGTCTGCCAATTAGATGTTGAATTGAATACCACACTATAATGACAGTGATTTACCCAGAACACACAGGTGTGACTTTTTTCCCCTAAAAGATAGTATGTTAGGTAAAACACGATTCAAGCTAGACAAAAAATGAATAAGCAGACATAAACCTTCCTGGAATTAAGAAATTAATATTACTCTACCATTTTCATGTCCCTGGAATGGACTAAACTTGGTCTGTCTCCCAGGATATCCCAGATTTTCACATGTTTGTCAGCAGATGATGTCACAAGGCATCCTTTGATCTGACTGCTTAGCTGTAGCCCTGGAAGATTAAGAATACAGCAGTGTGATAGCACCAGGTAATCACTGTTTCACAGAGATGAGGACCCTTTTTGAAGCAAAGTCATGAGAAATCCAATATTCTCCTCACACTAAATTGTTCCAGCAAAAAGGAGCAAAGTGATAAAGTTTCATGCTGCCACTGCTTCCCGTAGTGACAACAAACTGATGGTATGCCAGCCTATTCTGTTTCCCACTCCAACTGTAGCAGTGCAAGGATGCTATTGTTATGCTTCTTTCTTCACATAATCTGGCTTCTCCAGGTAGTTTTCTTCATTCATTTGCCAAAGACTCTTTTGCTATCCAAGGCAATGTGGCATATTCATAGATCTCATTTCAGACACCTAATCGGGTGTTTCAAGTTGCTTCTTAGGGGTTCCTACACTGATCAAGCAATTAAAGTAGCCTGAAGGAGGCAGTGTATAAACCTTCCCAAGTGCTATACCTAAATCATCTCCAGAGTGAACGCCAGTATAAAATAATTACTGATAGAGGAGGTAAACATTATAGTTTGTGATCCTGGACCAGGTTCCATAGCTTTTGTTCTTCCTCACCCAAAAAAACACAGGGAATGTGTCTCAAGTGAACAGATCAGCTTTGACATGTTTATTCACGACATTCACTGAGAAAAGTTCACTGTTGTTAAAATATTTTGCTTACAACAGCTTCTCAGCAGATTTGTTTCACTCGCTAGTTACCTATAGTGAGTATGCACAACTTTAACTTGTTAAGCAAGGAATTGCTACTACCTCAGTCATAGCCATTAAAGACATCTTCCAGATGTGCCTCGCCACTGGGGACAAACACAACACACACACAGAGTGTTTACCTGACACCTCTTCATCGTGAGCTTTCAGAGTAAACAGTGGCTTATCAGAACGAGCATCCAGACAGTACACAAAGCCATCCTCTGTGCTCACCTAAGGAAAACACAAGATTGTGAAAACAGCCATAGTCACTCATTTGGAAAAAAGCTCCTACAAAGTAATACCCACCCTCTAGTAAACCCCTGTGATTTGAGACAGACTTACACTTCTTGGTAGCGCTTGTCATAGTACATGGATCTGCATCCACAAAGTCAGACTCCATCCAGCTAGTGCCTGAGCTGTTCTATGTACCTAAATTATGCTGCACTGACTTACATGGAAGCTTTAATCATATACAAATTTCTTAAACTGTTATTTTGAAGATACGCTACCACACTTGGCTGTCATGGTAGGCAATGAAATAGTCTCCTAATTGGCAGTTCAAAGCTTCTGGAGCTATCCACTGAGTACATAATAGAATCATTGAATAGTAGAATCATAGAATGGTTTGGGTTGGAAAGGACCTTAAGATCATCTAGTTCCAACCCCCCTGCCATGGGCAGGGACACCTCACACTAAACCATCTCACCCAAGGCTTTGTCCAACCTGGTCTTGAACACTGCCAGGGATGGAGCATTCACAACCTCGCTGGGCAACCCATTCCAGTGCCTCACCACCCTAACAGAAAAGAATTTCCTCCTTATATCCAATCTAAACTTGCCCTGTTTAAGTTTGAACACGTTATCCCTTGTCCTGTCACTCCAATCCCTAATGAAGAGTTCCTCCCCGCCATTCTTGTAGGCCCCCTTCATGATACTGGAAGGCTGCTATGAGGTCTCCACGCAGCCTTCTCTTCTCCAGGCTGAACAGCCCCAACTTCCTCAGCCTGTCTTCATACAGGAGGTGCTCCAGTCCCCTGATCATCCTCGTGGCCCTCCCCTGGACTTGTTCCAATAGTTCCATGTCCTTTTTATGTTGAGGACACCAGAACTGTACACAATACTCCAAGTGAGGTCTCATGAGAGAAGAGTAGAGGGGCAGGATCACCTCCTTCGACCTGCTGGTCACGCTCCTTTTGATGCAGCCCAGGATACGGTTGGCTTTCTGGGCTGCAAGCACACACTGCCTGCTCATGTTCATTTTCTCATCCACCAACACCCCGAAGTCCTTCTCCGCAGGGCTGCCCTGAATCTCTTCTCTGCCCAACCTGTAGCTGTGCCTGGGATTGCTCCGACATAGGTGTAGGACCGTGCACTTGGCATGGTTAAACCTCATGAGGTTGGCATCAGCGACAAAGATGTTGAACAAGACCGGTCCCAACACCGATCCCTGAGGGACACCACTAGTTACTGGTCTCCAGCCGGACATTGAGCCATTGACCACAACTCTTTGTGTGCGGCCATCCAGCCAGTTCTTTATCCACCGAGTGGTCCATCCATCAAACTGATGTCTCTCCAATTTAGAGACAAGGATGTCGTGTGGGACAGTGTTGAACGCTTTGCACAAGTCCAGGTAGATGACATCAACTGCTCTACCCCTGTCCATCAGTTCTGTAGCCCCATCATAGAAGGCCACCAGGTTGGTCAGGCAGGTTTCCCCTTAGTGAAGCCATGCTGGCTGTCACCAAGCACCTTGTTGATTTCCATGTGCCTCAGCATGCCTTCCAGGAGAATCTGCTCCAAGATTTTGCCAGGCACAGAGGTGAGACTGACTGGTCTGTAATTCCCCGGGTCATCCATTTTCTCCTTCTTGAAAATGGGGGTTATATTTCCCTTTTTCCAGTCATCGGGAACTTCACCTGACTGCCATGATTTCTCAAATATGATGGCCAGCGGCTTCGCAACTTCATTCTCCAGCTCCTTCAGGACCCGCAGATGGATCTCATCAGGTCCCATGGACTTGTGCATGTTCAGGTTCTTAAGATGGTCTTGAACCAGATCCTCTCCTACAGTGGGCCCAAGGTCTTCATTCTCACAGTCCCTGCGCCTGCCTTCCAAGACTTGGGTGGTTTGGTCAGAGCCTTTGGCAGTGAAGACCGAGGCAAAGAAGTCATTCAGAACCTCAGCCTTCTCCAAATCCTGTGTAGCCAGTTCTCCCAAGAGCTTCCTGAGGGGGCCTACGTTCTCCCTTGTCTGTTTTTTATTTGCTATGTACCTGTAGAATCCCTTCCTGTTATCTTTGATACCTCTAGCTAAGTTTAATTCTAACTGGGCCTTAGCTTTCCTAACCTGGTCCCTAGCTTCCCGGACAACATCCCTGTACTCTTCCCAGGCCGCCTGTCCTTGCTTCCACTTTTTATAAGCCTCTTTTTTCATTTGAATTTTCCCCAGGAGCTCCTTATCCATCCAAGGAGGTCTCCTGGCCCTCCTGCTGCACTTCCTTCTGGTTGGGATGCAACACTCCTGAGCTTGTAGCAGGTGATCACTGAATATCAACCAAGAGACTTGGGCCCCTCTGCCCTCTAGGGCTGTATCCCATGGAACCTTCCTAAGCAGGTTCCTGAAGAGACCAGAGTCTGCTCTTTCGAAGTCCAGGGCAGTGAGCTTGCTGCACGCTCTTCTCACTGTCCTGAAGGTCTCGAATTCGACCATCTCGTGGTCGCTGCATCCAAGGCTGCCCTGGAGAGTCACATTTCCAACGAGCCCTTCCCTGTTGGTGAGCACAAGGTCAAGCATGGCACCTCTCCTTGTTGGCTCCTCTGTTACTTGCAGAAGGAAGTTGTCTTCTACACAATCGAGGAACCTCCTGGATTGCTTGTGCTGGGCCATACCGTCCTTCCAACAGATGTCAGGGTGGTTGAAGTCACCCATGAGAGCAAGGGCCTGCGAGCGTGAGGCTTTTCCTATCTGTCTATGGAGTGCTTCATCCTCAGGTTCTCCTTGATCAGGCAGTCTGTAACAGATCCCCACAGTAATGTCTCCCATAGCTGTTTTCCCTTTAACCCTGACCCACAAACATTCTGTGGACTGCTCACCTGTCCCCAGACAGAGTTCCATACTCTCCAGCCTATCCCTAACATAAAGGGCAACTCCCCCTCCCCGCCTGCCAGGCCTGTCTTTCCTAAAGAGCCTGTAACCTTCCATTCCAACACTCCAGTCATAGGAGCCATCCCACCATGTTTCTGCAATGCCTATTATATCATACCCCCTTAGATGTGCACACATCTCTAATTCTTCTTGTTTGTTCCCCATGCTATGGGCATTTGTATAGGGGCATCTGAGCCGAGCTCCAAATGAAGCTGGCTCATTGGCTGGAGCGGCTGGGATATCTCTACATTGCTCTGAGCATTTATTATAGGTTCTGGCAACTGACTGGGTGTGTTGGGATGGAATGATGCCCCCTCCCCCAACACATCTAGTTTAAAGCCTCCTTGACCAGTCTGGCAAGCCTCCTACCAAAACTGCTCTTTCCCTTCTTTAGACCAGCTCCACCAGCCCCCACTAGACCTGGCCTACAAACTTGGGTCCTGTGTTCTAGACACCCAAACCCCTGACTATGACACCACCCTTTTAACCATTTATTAACCTGGCCAATCCTCCTAGCTTTTTTTAGGTCCTCCCCTGTATCCTGGAGAATTGACAAAAAGACAGTCTGAGCTCCAGAGCCCCTAACCATCTCTCCCAGGGCTCTGTAGTCCTTCTTTATGTTCCCCAGGCTACTACTATCTATATCATTAGCACCCACATGGATCACTAGAAGTGGGTAATAATCCGTGGGACTTACTAGAGCAGGCAGCCTCTCTGCAACATCCCTGATCCGTGCCCCTGGTAGGCAACACACCTCCCCTTGAGACCAGGTCAGGCTGACAGATGAGTGCTTCTGTCCCTTTCAAAGTAGAGTCCCCTACTACTATGACTCGCCGCTTTTTCCTGGCAGCACCAGTAGAGATCTTCTTTACCAGTGCATCAGCCAGCTGTTTCTGGAGCCATACTCAAAGCTGAGAGATCTGTATCACAAACCCAAGAGAACTGAGCAACTGCTTTTTTTGGCTGTATATATAAAGCAACAGACAACCAGACAGCCACTGAGGTAATAAAAATTATTTCTTTTTAAATTCTGTTTAAAACTTGTATTATAAAAATCTTCACAAACCCAAGGTACCCCAGCAGGGTGGACAATGCCCTCTAGTGCTGATTTGAAACAATATTCAGGATCTTCGGTCTAAAGAGCTGCTTCTCAGCTGCAATTGCCTCATTACACGAAACACAAAAGCAACTATGCAAAGGAAAATACATCCCAGCCACTGAACACTATAACAGCATGGCAAAGATGCCACCTCTGGAGTCAAAAAGCAACTGTATCAATTGCTTTTCTACTGCCATAATAGAGGTACTGGGTAAAGAGCTGGTCTTCATATACTTGTTGAAAAAAACTACCCAAAACCATCCTCACACGCACTGCATCTTGAAAATAAGAACCAACAACAGTCCAACTCCATCACCTCCATTATATGATTCAGAAACATTATGAACACAAAAATACAGGCTAAATGAAATGGCAACAGTCTACAAACTGAGAATAGAAGAGCATGTACTCACTAAGAAGTTACAAGGTGAAAAATGATTCCAAGTTACTCTTTCAACCTGACCACTAAACCGCCACACGCGATGGTTATCTTGTGGGTTTCTGCAGTCATACAGTGCAGCTGATCTATGCGAAAAAGGGAGAGGAAATAAATGAATAAGAAAAATCAGGGTAGAACACCTTACAAAGTTTGTTTTACCATTGGCATTTATAGAAGGCCCACATAAACTACAATTCAAAAGTTAAAATGGAAACAACTTCACTATTTAGTCTTCCAACTCAACAACAGATGAAAATTTCTCAGATAAGTCACAAGACTTTCCCATATGCCTTCAAGTTTCATCTCGGTTACAAACAGCTGTTCTATTGAAACTAAGCAAATAGAGCTTGAATTTACTCAATGCATAAGATACTTACTACACAGGAGACCATAATTATGCAAATATATCACTGAATTATGAACACACTTCAGTAAAGTCAAGCAATGACTTTCAAAAATATTGCACTAATTAGGAAATCCATTTCAGGATTCAATCACAGAACGGTTTGAGTTGGAAGGGACCTTAAAGGTCATCTAGGTCCACCCCCTCTGCCCTGGGCAAGGACACCTTCCACATTTGTGGAATACATATACCTAAAATATCCTTTAAGAAATACAAAATTAATCTTTACAAGGGATTAGGGAAATGCTGCTCCAAAAAGAAGAAACAGTGGATGGGAGTTAATGGGTCCCCTGGTATTCTTTACAGGTATGTGCTTAAACCGGTGGTGGCAGAATGTGTCCCAACCCCAAAATCTCCTGGATATGAATGCAAGAGAGGTGTGATGATGTCACTCTTGCAGCACCTCATCACAACCAGCATCCACAGTGTAACTAGCTCCTACTCTATCATATAATTAAAACCAAAGAGATGCGATCTAGATCTCTATTACCTGGCATCTTACAACAGTTCTAGCATATATGCAATTTTTAATGGTCTGACTTTTAGGTTATGAAGGCATCTGCCAATATTCACTGAATAGCCTGTGCTTCTGCAAGGCTTCATAGGAAAAAATCCACAAAGGCAGTGTATAGACAGTAAACTGGTTTATAGTGTCCATGGTATCGAAGGGCTAGCTAAAATAGCACTGAGTAGCTGGCCTCGGGGTGTGGACTTTTTTCTTTCTACTGAAGGAAGTCAAGAGGGAGGAAAGCAGGCAGAGCAGCTCCTAACAGCAATAAAAGGATTTTCTCCATTACTTTCACTTAAGCAGATGGAGCAAGAGCACAATAGAAGCCAGAAAATATAAAGGCCTGGCTAAAGATTGACAAGTCTATAAATACCACAAGGACAAAGTCTTAAAAGAATTAAAAAAAAAAAAAAATCAATATAAGAAAGTCACAGTTATAGAACAAAATTAAACAGTTACCCCTATGGGATGGGAGAACAGAGGGGAAGTTTTTGAGCTGGCAGGGCTTATAAGCTACTGGCAGTTATAGCGCTAGTCAAAGCGTGCAGCCACAAACCATTTCACAGCATCTCCAGCCTGCAGTCACCGGAGGTAGCCCATTAAACTTTGGCTATGGCACGCCTATTAATAGAGGCTGTAGGGAGCAGACTGGGATGTTGAAGTCCCTCATGCACCCATCCTGGTCCTACAGCTTGGCAAGACCTGCACAGGTTTTCAGAGGAATGAGCAGTGTCACGTTCCCAATGCAGAAAATGCCGTAAGGCCAAATTAAGAAAGAAATGCAGTTTGGCATAAACACCTGGCACAGAAAATGCTGCTCCAGATGGTTAAAGGATTTAGCTAGTCCTGAGAAAGAGGTAAGGAAAACTACATTTTGGCCACATACAAACCTGGCTACCTTGCTGGAAAAAAATAAACAGCATTATTCAAATTTGGCACAGTTACAAGCAAATGAAAAGGAAAACATGAAGCAACTTAACAGGCTTTATTTTATACTAATACCCTCCCTACACGTAACATTTGAAAATGACATACTGACATACTTATCATTAAGATCCAGAAATGACAATGAAAATGACATTTGACCCTGACATACTTATCATAAGATCCAGAAATAAGGGTCTGAGTTTCAAATGGATGAAACTGCAACGTCTGGACCTAGATAACAGAAAATTTTGTATTTAAAAATAAGCACTGAGGTATAGTACGCATATACACAATCTTTCTTTGAACAAACAAGAGCACAAGCCCTCCTTCCCAAAGCCAGCACACTGCCCCCCCCCAAATTGATCCTATTAAGCTTGTTGATACTCAGATTTTTCATAAAACAGTGCAAGAGAGGCACATTATTTTTATTCAAACACCCCCACCCAGTGGAAACAAGGTATTTTCCTTGTTTTATATATATTTTTATATATATTTATATATACAATATATAATATATATTATATATATAATATATATATTTATATATATAAATGAACTGAACAGAACCACATGGCCCCTTTCTGCTCTGGATATTAAAAAAAAACATAAAAAACCCCAACCAAACAAAACCCTAAAAAAACCCAAAATCAGAGGAGATAAAAAAAAGAGCTGCTTCCAGTTATAGAAAAAATGCAGATGTTAGCAAAAAATGAAAATCAGGAGTTTGCCAAGGGCAGTGACTTCGTTAACAGCAGAATAAGGTTACAGCTATTAATAACTAACTTCCACATTTTAATTACTATGAGATTAATTCATTTCTGAAGTACCCACCACTGTGGTATTTTAGTATCATCTATTTTAAACTTTTCTTACCTAGAACTGACACTCTCTGTTTCCTCAGAGAAAATTACAGTTTGACCTATTCTCAGAGACCTATTTTTTGGAGCTTATTGCAGCCCTATCGGATTCCCACCATTAGGGCTTTCACAAAAAAGGCATTTTAGAAAACTGCTGTAAATCTTCACAAACTATCTAAAGGACAAGTTAAACAGCACTTTAAAAAGCAAATACATTGTTGTTTGCAAAGGCAACTAATTCAGAACTTTAAAGAATTCTGCACAGTTCTTAGAAAACTACAGAATTGTTGTTGTAAGGGTTCACCACCAAGCAGTTAATGAAAAACTGCATTTATTTTTTCTCTGTATTTTACAGTGGAAGAAACACAGCAATTGTTACTTACCTTGTCTGTGTGTAGCATCAGGCTGGCTGCTGGCTTACCCACAGACATATCCCACAAAATCACAGTACTGTCAGCAGATGCACTTGCTAAAACATTCCTGATAACAGATCAAGAAATAAGTTTTAAACGTCTTTATACAGATACAAACAAATGGTCAAATGTCCAAAATACATGGACTCAATTCTGAGATCAAGTATGCTCTGGACTACAGACTGTATTTCTCAAGCCTGACGGATAATTCCCTGAAGGTAATTCTAAGTTAGGAGTAAAGAGTACAAACAGACTATATTACATTATTTAACACAGTAACAACATTGACAGTTTTGCTTCAGTTCCCCCCCTGACACCACTTAAAATATCATTTATTGGAAAATTTCTTGACCAAAATGAAGAAAGGCTTTTAAGCATTTCCTTTCCTTAGCAACTTAGCCCTGCTTACATACACATACAGCCAAGTGCCAGAAAAAAATGGTTTTAAAATACTTTGCTCTCTAATATGTGACTGTTCATCTAGCTGCTGAAGACTTAACACTGTACACTCTTCCAAGAATGCTAAAAGGAACCACTAACATACTAGCTAGTTTACAGACCCTCTATTTCAACTTAAATTTGGTCAACTGTGTTAAGAGCAATAAACATGCAGTTTAGAATTTTAATCAGAAAAAAAACCTCAAAATTTTCCCAAAGGCCTGTCAAATACACAGTACAACTACTATTGCTCTTAAAACCTGATTTATTACCTCAACATGTTGTTTCTGATCAAAACTGCTCCCCCATCCCTTATTTTTTGTGTATTAACGAAGCGTTATGGACTGAAAGAGCTAACATCCTCCTGGAAACACTGTCCTTCCAAACGTTATAAGGGAAAGTTAAGAAAATGCATAGTGAAGGCTCTGAGAATATTTTACAGTAGCACCATTATGACATACAGGCAGAAAGTTATTTACAGAGAGCTGTCACAGTATATCTTGCTTAAAAAACAAACAAAACATTTAAATATAAGCTGCTCCACGGAGTTTCTTGTTTGGCCCATAAGCTTCCTACTTCAAGGCTGGTTTAATGCCCTGAAAAATCTACCAGTATCAATGAGTCTGTAACTCAGCCCATTGCAGAATTATGCATTCCAAACACTTAATTATTGTGGCTTTAAGTTTTATGACTTGTCTCTATATTATCACCAGAAAATCATTTCTATGCACGTGAAAACTACTCTTCTGTAAGACAGACAGAAAGATCACTGCCACACTGTGCACATGTGTATAATTTAGGAACAGGCAAAGCGCTGTAAATGAAGAGTGCAATCTATGTACATTTATTGCATTTCTATATGGATGTTTCCTCCTTCAGTATTATCTAGATAAAGGTCATTACAAATGAAGGCTTACAGCTGCTCATTAGGACTATACAGAGTTAACTACAGCCTGGAGAAGGCTCTGTGGAGACCTCAAAGCAGCCTTCCAGTATCTGAAGGGGGCCTACAAGGATGCCAGAGAGGGACTCTTCATCAGGGACTGTAGCAACAGGACAAGGGGCAATGGGTTCAAACTAAAACAGGGAAGTTCAGGTTAGATATAAGGAAGAAGTTCTTTCAAGTTTCAAGGCCCACGCTGAAGACCCTCTGATAGCTGAACTGTTAACAACTACCTTAATTGATAAAAACAGCAGCATCGCTACTTCAGTCATCACATTGCCCCTGACCTCTCACCCAAGATGGGCCAGCTTTGTGTTGCTTCAATAGGAGCACTTAATTGCTAGTTTGTTCAGGCAGCATAATATTGTCTCTGTCTAGGATAACCCAAAGGTCAGAGGCATTTTTGTAACTGTGCTATTAGGGCTTTTACACTATCTTTTCTGCTCACAGTTCAGGTGCAAAAGCCAGAGTTAAAAAAAAACAAGAGAATAGCAAAGACTTTTCTTCTACAAATCTGCTACTATCTGCTGAAATGGTGTTTTAGGTCATTGTCAGATCAGCACAGATGACAGCAGCCATCTGGTTATCTAGTCTGTGCATATGACCTAAACGGAGCTGATTTAACAAATGGCTTAAACCCACCTTAGCCCTGCACTCATCTGGACAACCTGCAAACACACAGTGATCTGCAGCAACATGTAGGTTAAAAATAATGATAATAAAAAAATAATCAAGACTTCCAGTTAAAAAGGGGGGGAGGGAGGTGTAGTTTTGAGAAATGATTCATTTCAGCACTGCTTTCAAGTTCAACATTATACTACATTGTATTTTGGATTTCTGTGAAAAATGCATGCCAAATTAAATGCACAAATTTGTAACCATCCATTGTTATTCAAGTATACTTTTACCTGCTTTGTTTATTCCACGAAAGATCAAGCACAGCATCAGTATGTCCTTTCACTGTCTCTTCTGAAGATAAGCTCTGTATGTAGATACAAAATAAAGACTTTTGAAAATTACAGCTCCAATGGAAGTCAAGCGTTATAACACATTAGTATAAAATCCTTAATACCTTCACAAACAACTTCGTATTTTATATTACTCTCACTTGCTGCAACAAGGTTTTTGATAGAAGTGTCTATTCAGTACCTGCACCTCACTTCCTATCCCAGATGTCAGATGGCTTCATTTCATTCACAGCTGCTGGGTTTATAGAACTGGGTACTCCCTTCAGGCTAGTAGCAGAACTTCATTGTCTCCAGCTAATGTGCAGCTTCTTCAGCTTCTCTCTAAACACTCCTGGCAGTTCCCTCACTCCTTCAAATTAACTGAGCTTGAAGTCCTTGTAACTGCCAGCTCCTACAACTTCTAACTTAAAATGGTTAAGCTTCAAAGACAGCAATCGGAAACCACCCATAACTCACCCCATTTCTCTCAATTCCACGTTTTAATTATCCATACAGAGAATGATTAGCATTTCAAACTGAAGTAACATTTATGAATGATATCTTCAACAGCAATGCTGATAACCCAGCGATTTTCAGAGGCAAGTTTCATAGAACAAATTCCCCTTCCAAGGATATTTTCTCTATTCTCTAATAGGTCTGAGAGCTGCAGTAGTCAACCCCCTACGCAATGACAGTAAGGTTCTTTAATAAAAAGGTTCTTTATCTGACTAACACTGTAGTGCTCCTTTGTTTGGGAAACCAAGATTAGCTATATATTTAGCATCCACATTCCCTATTTACTCTAGGGAGTTTTTAAGCACTTCCTGAAGCATCTACTACACACAAAATCTAGCAAATTTAAGTGACGTCAACTTCCAGACTTGTTTCACATACCAAAGGATTAGGATAAATCATAGCACATTCTGGCATACAATTAGGATGACATTCATCTCGCATAACTTAGCATCCAGTCTCAACCTCACTCTTCCTCTTTGGTGGTTAAGTTTTTCTCTGTAGTCCACTACGAGAAACTGAGCCATTTTCAGGTTATGCCTCTATGCCTTTACCTCAATTTCTATGACTATCATCTTGAAATATGCTTAAATTTTAGACAGATAAAGCTAACAAGGTGAATCCTGAGTAAATGTATTTTACTAGTGTAAACCTTGTCCTTTATTCCTCAATGCCTTTTCAACTCCAAGACACAGGAAAATACCAATTTTAACCTACTGCAGATAACCATGACATTATCTTCTGTAACCTGTCTAAATACCATCTTTCAACAGACTGAATTAAATCCAATTATCTACAATTTAGATAAACAATTTTGCAATACTTACTTTCTTCCCTTTCTTTTTTTTCTTTTTCTCTTTCTTGTCTCCAAGAGAAAAGACTGGTTCTAAGGATTCTACTACATCAAGGTCCCAAATGTCAATAACTGGGGTCATGTTACCCACTGCAACATAATTTCCTACAAGCAGAAACCCAAATGTGACCACATTTATTTAGAATTACGAAACAGCATATTTGGCAATCCAGCTGTTGCTTATTTCTTTGATTAAGTAAAACTTATACTTATGTACCAGAATTTCCCATTTGAACATATTTGATGTTTATAACTGACTAGGAGCAATTTTAAAAAATCAACTGACAGCAGATGTTGCCAGAAAAAAAAAGATTACTTGCTCTCCTCCTTCAGTAAAAGTAACTGCCCAAAGCAGCTGTATACAGTTCCACGTTTTGGTTTATTTTTTGATGAAAAAACAAACAACAAAATCCCACATTGGCTGTACTATTGGAAAAAAATTCTGTAAAACAGAGGAAAAAAGTTACTGAATACATAAATATATAAAACTTTTGCTGTGTTTTACAGTTTGGATTTGCCATAATGAGTTTGAACAAAAGTAACTTTTCATTTACAAATGGAAAATAAAGCAAATTAGAGAAGAGCTTGCTTTGGTCTAACTGGCAATAACTTAATTATTTGTAATAAAGCTGGTGTTTTAGTAAAATCACTTGTTATGGCAGCATCACTAAGATAATTGTATCACCAAAACAAATAAAAAAATGGACATTTACAGTATCCTTTGTAATTTACCTACTGATTCATCAGGATTAGGATCAAAATTCAGCCACTCCAGACTTAGAGGGTAAGCAGGCAAGATAATATCATGATGCACATAAAATGAGTTCTCTTCATGATTATAAACTGAAAAAGAATTAAAGACATACATCAATGAAGAGGAAAAGTAAGCAACTATGAACAGTTCACTTCTGCAAAAGGCAGATGTAGCAAAAGCTAAATTGTCAAGGAGATCTAGAATGTAAATTTACATTCCAGTATGAACTCAGTACATTCAGAGTTTTAGCACAGAGGCCAGTGCCTCCAACTACTAATATTATGGCTACTTAATGTTATGGCCTGTGAATTACACAAAACAAATAAAACATTCTCATGTGCACTTTAGACAAAGAAGTGACAAGTTCAGCAAAGCTTAGACACTTGACTCTGAGCATACTACACTACTTTGTTTCTACGACTGCTTCGAAATTGATGCTCCATATCCAACACTCTCTACATCAGGATACAGTCAGAAACAATCTGAGAGGAAATCAAAGGGGAAATGAAGATAAAAGACAAACAGTCTGCAAATTAGAGAAAGCTGAAGAAGTCAGAAGAAATTATCTTCAGCAGGTTTTGACTGAGCTGCAGGAAGACTTGCTAAAGCAACCATATGCTAAATACAGCATTCCCTTTAGCCAGCTCTTTTTTTCCTTATAATAAAAGAATTTACTAACTGGACAGCAGAGAAACCCATTAATTATTTTAATAACATGGTATCATCACAAACACAAAATCACAGTGCCATTTTTAAGTGCATGTGACAGATGTTCAGATAGTAACTGAAGTCTTCAGTTAACTAAGCAGTCTTAGCAGTTAACTAAGACAGAGCCACCCTACGTTATAAACAGCAGAAGCCTGTGCTATTGTTTTATAAGTGTATATTGGGAAAATTACACAGTTAATAAAATTTGTAAACACCATCCCTAGAACAAGTGGTATTCAGACCTCATTAAGGATCATCTCTTCTAAAACTACAATGATAGAGGTGTTGATTCTTCTACTCCTAGCACGAAGCCAGTAGAAGAAGCTTGCATGATTTAGAAGAAATTTATTCAGAGAATAAATTTATTCAGAGAATAAAAATGCCATAGTATTTTCTAAGTGCCATTAGAAATGAAATAAGAAAAGCAAATGCTATATAGCTGAAAAAACACACTACCCTCTAAATAGCAATACCACCACATGAAAGACTCAAGTTCTGAAAAGTGGCTAAAGCACCATGACACAGGAAAGATAAGGAGAAAGAGAACCTTCCAAAAACCAACCCTCTCCCCCTTCTACAGAGCCATATGGCATAGGCTAGGTGAGACATACTCCCTAAGTTCACTGTAAAGAACAAATCCTATGTTACATACCATGGACCTCCAAACTACAGTAGTCTTTATCAACTCTGCCACAAAGGACAAGATTGTCAGTGGGCTTAATCAAGAAGTCTTCTTCTTCATACTGATCCTGAACAGCAAAAAGGAGATCAGTGGATATTAAACAGAGCACATAAATGCACAAAACTACACATGAATCAGTAATAATTTTTAACTGAAAACACTCAAAAAACCAACACCCTGCTGCCCACCTGCCTAAAGTCATCCTACAGTGGTAAACAAAGAAAGGCAGGAACCAGACTCAATCATGGGGAATTGGATAGTTATTATATAGACTGAAGGAGTGCTTATGTGGACCTAGGTGGATTTAGAGAGATCTTCAATTATCAAATATGAAACCATATTTTGAGGCTACCATGATGCAGCCCATTGCTGAAAAGAAAATCACTGCCAGGAGCCCACACATGCAGCTTATTTCCCTTGTGCTCTCATGCCTTAAGCATCTATATAGTGTAACATCATTTTACACAATAAGCATACTGTAACTGCTCCTCACATCCAGGAAGCAATTCCAAGAGCACTGAAGCATTGTCTACTTTATGGAAAATATTTCAAAAAAAGTGCTGCCTACAGCTATATTGGGCATTCAGCAGTACCAGAACAGATGTAACATCTCATCTAACTTTCATTGTTACTGAGGAATGGAAGGCATTCAGGGAATTTTTATCAGTGGAAAACTAAGAACTCTACATAAAAGTCAATAGTCTTGCACAGAGTACCATCCTTCAAATATACAACACATACAAGACTTTTTGGACTTGTTGCAAGCTTTTTAATTTCTATTTTATTCACTGGAAGCATCTTTTCAATATCTGAATTCTATCAAGTCCTGCACTTTTTTGAATTAATCAACTTAATGTTGTTACACAATACTTGGCCTTCAACAGTACTAGCAGTAAATACCAAAAGACAATATAAAATGCATATTAAAGACTAAAAGTACTCTCTTTCAGAATTTGAGCAATGGTCTTGAGTGCAGCAAGAAAGGCCCAAGAAAAAGATGTTCATTCTTTCTGTCTAGAAGAAAGTTAGCTTTTCTGACACAGAATATATGCATCTCGTATTATCTCTGAAGCCCTGTGCAAATACCTCTTTGACTATAAAAATCACTTTGAAAGCATTTCTCTCCTCTACTGCTACACAGGAACAAGAAAAATCACTAAGAGTCAGTGGAACACAGAGAAAACATACAGTGCCTCAAAATGCACACAAAAAGGTAAGATGTATGCCTTCCTCCTTGAGTTTTGTTAAAGTATATGAAGTCACCATAACAACTTGTCCAAGACCACACATTAGATGAAGTCCCCCGACACACAAACTAGATGTTGCAGTAGAAACCTATAGCTCCTCTTTTCTTTCACCCTTACTAGCTTTGTAAAGAATAAAAAAATAGTATAAAAAGGACAGCACCCAGAAAAGTCTTTATGCTTACAAGAGGTCCCAAAAATTCACCTATACCTTAACCCTGACCCAGATGATCATAGTCTCTCCTGATGCCTCTATGCTACATTGACTCTTCTCTTGCAACCTCATCTTCCAACTAATTTATGCAATTTCTCTGTGTAAATCAATCGCAAGTTGCAGTCTATCCTGAACTAAAATGTGGATAGTCTCTGGAATTGCTCCTTGTCTTTTCTGAGGACCAAATATCCTAGCCATGGCAGTACCAATATTCACTAGAGAAAGACAAACAGGCTGCATAACAGGACAGCACTGCTGACACAGTTAGCTTGTTAGACTACAGACAGAGACTTCTTCACTCCCTGCAGGAGCTCTTACAAAGCCAGCTCCTGCAAAGATGTTCCCCATCTGATACCTGATAGAAACTAACACAGACAGAAGCAGTTAACTACACAGTATGCTGGGCATATATGCTTAACAGGGACATATTTCTTCATGCCATACCTGAGTCTACCTTAGTTTGGTTTCTTCCACAAACTGGTGGAAGGTGTAGAAGTCTTGCAGTGTGGGAAGTTTTAATATTTGGATCATTAGTGGCCTGTGATTTGTTACCTCTTCAAGCATTTTCTGTGTCCTACTGGACAGGTGACAAACCACACCACACATAGAACTGTTACAGCTGCCTCAAACATAAAAGGCACGTGTAGAGGGGCCTGCACAAAGCAACTATAAAAGGAGTTCCATCTGATCAAAAATCTGGCACACCTCTGGAAAAGGACTGCAAGCACTTACAGACCCTGAGGCAGCATGGAAAATTTAACTGATTTTTAAGTTTATGCTGTTTAAGATGTTTAATATTTTTATAATACTTACAGTGGTTTTTAGAGTGATGTAAGGATCATTATCATTACTCCCGTATACTGCCAGGGTAGCCAAGGAGTCTCCAAGTTTTAGATCACCTAGGTGGGAATTTCAGAACATCTTTAACACATGTCAATGACAGGTGAAGTTAGAAACTCCTGTACCAATACCTGGATTACCTATATTGTAAAAAAGGAGTGGGCTAAATTAACTTCAAAGTTACAAACATAAGAATCTCAGTAAGCTAAATTGCTGGCTGGTTTGGAGGACTTCTGCTGCTCTGCTCCAGCACTGCAGCAGGGGGAGCGATAATCTTTCCAACATGCTCTTGGTTAAAGCATCAGGATGAGGAACACCGAAGGACTTCACTCACTAAACGATTTCCGAAACTAGGACAAACAGATTACTAAAAATGTGGATTTTCAGCATTTGAAACATAGACCTGTGAAGTTTTAGGATACAAATGTCTTAATTACAACAAAAACTTGAAAAGGTTCTTCACTTACATTGTGTATCTGACATTAACATTTTTGTTACCTGTGCATTCCTCTTCATCATAATTTTCCAAATCATATTCATCTAGCTCATCATCAGGTGGGTCTTCATTTTCATGAGAAGACTCAGCTCTGCCAGGAACATCTACATTCACATCAGATGCCATCTGGCCTTCATCACTACCATCAGCAGCATCCCTGTTTAAAGATACACATCCCTGAGAAACTAAGGCGGACATTTAGAATTCTTCCAGGTAATTGCTTAGGAGACTGCTTACAAGATTTCAGCACCCAATCCTGGCTGCTCCAGCCTTTATGCCAATAATTTGGAAATCCATCCACTCCTATCTTTTCCCAAAATAAACAGCACCATTATACACAGGCTTCCAAAGGAAGCCTTCCTTGACAGTTTTCATGACAAACTGCCACACATTTTGGTTTTCAGAGATAATCTGTGTGTCTAAATCCCTTTCTCTTACCTTTTTATTTTTTTATGCATACAATGCTCTCAACCTCACTTGTGTACATTTGCACATGTCCAATTCCTTCCTTCCTTTTTCCTCCCACACTCACAGGCCCTGTCATGGGTGATGACTCTTGCATTTCTTCAAGATTTTCAAGACCTTATTTACTCATATTTCCCATACTTACCTTAGAGGAAAAAACAACATAAAATTCATTAGGTAGGGATATATTGTGGATTATTTCTTACAAAGTAAACTATGCAACATCTGAATAACTTGGTACTTAGGTGGAACAATTCCATATGCAGGGAATTCAGCAGAAGGAAGTGTGCATTAAAGATTAACTGAGGGCCTAATAGGCATCTGAGATGTCTCAGTGGAATGTGATCCAGAGGGATTCATCCCTGCTGAATACACTGTATTCCTTTCCTTCTGCCCTCGGGATTCCTAAGCAACAATGAGTAAAGACAGTTCTCATTTGCCACACACAAAGAGTTGTGGTCAATGGCTCAATGTCCGGCTGGAGACCAGTAACGAGTGGTGTCCCTCAGGGATCGGTGTTGGGACCGGTCTTGTTCAACATCTTTGTCGCTGACATGGACAGTGGGATTGAGTGTGCCCTCAGCAAGTTTGCCGATGACACCAAGCTGTGTGGTTCGGTTGATACCCTGGAGGGAAGGAATGCCATCCAGAGAGACCTTGACACGCTTGTGAGGTGGGCTGATGCCAACCTTATGGAGTTGCTAATGTGCAAGGTCCTACAGCTTGGTCGGAGCAATCCCAGGCACAGCTACAGGTTGGGCAGAGAAGAGATTCAGAGCAGCCCTGAGGAGAAGGACTTGGGGGTGCTGGTCAATGAGAAAATGAACATGGGCCAGCTTCAGTGTGCGCTTGCAGCCCAGAAAGCCAACCGTATCCTGGGCTGCATCAAAAGGAGCGTGACCAGCAGGTTGAAGGAGGTGATCCTGCCCCTCTACTCTGCTCTTGTGAGACCTCACCTGGAATATTGTGTGCAGTTCTGGTGCCCTCAACATAAAAAGGACATGGAACTGTTGGAACAAGTCCAGAGGAGGGCCATGAGGATGATCAGGGGACTGGAGCACCTCCTGTATGAAGACAGGCTGAGAAAGTTGGGGCTGTTCAGCCTGGAGAAGAGAAGGCTGCGTGCAGACCTCATAGCAGCCTTCCAGTATCTGAAGGGGGCCTACAAGGATGGCAGAGAGGAACTCTTCATTAGGGACTGTAGTGACAAGACAAGGGGTAACGTGTTCAAACTTAAACAGGGGAAGTTTAGATTGGATATAAGGAGGAAATTCTTTTCTGTTAGGGTGGTGGTGAGGCACTGGAATGGGTTGCCCAGGGAAGTTGTGAATGCTCCATCCCTGGTGATGTTCAAGGCCAGGCTGGACAGAGCCTTGAGCAACACGGTCTAGTGTGAGTTGTCCCTGCCCATGACAGAGGAATTGGAACTAGATGATCTTAAGGTCCTTTCCAACCCAAACCATTCTATTACGTACAAAAACCTAAGGTGTGACAGGTTTGTGCAATCGCCCCCCCCCCCCTTCCTCTTCCCTGCTCTGTCAGCGGCGACGATACCCGGCGGGCTCCAACCGGTCCCGGTAGACGGCCGCGCCCGCTGCCCCGGCTCACCTCACCCTGTCCTGGGCCTCCTCGATGAGGTCGTTCAGCTCCTCCTGGCTGAGCTGTACCTGCGGGGCAGACACACTGAGGAGTGAGGGCAACGGCGGGAGGCGACAGCGGGCGGGGGGTCCCTCAGCTCAGCCCAGCCCAGCCCCGGCCTCACCTTTTCCGGCGTCTCCTTGGCCACGCCGCAGCGCACCCAGGCGGCGCACGTTACCGGGCAGCTCATGGCGGCGCGGGGCTCTGTGGTGTGCCGTGCGGGGCGACACGTGCAAGCGGCTGCGGCGCGCCACGAGTGACGTGTCTGACACGAGAGCCCGCCTGCAACGGCGGAGGACAACGGAACGGGCGGAGATAGAGCAGCGTGACGTCATCACCCAGCGCCGAGAGAGCCGGAAGGAGGGGAAGGGCGTGGCCTCAGCGGGAGGGGCAGCGGGTGGCTGTTGGCGCGTTGGTGTTCGCATCCCTGAGGCGATCCCGTTTAGAGTGGGTATTAGGGAACGGTTCTGCACCGAGAGGGTGCTCAGGCATTGGAACAGGCTGCCCAGGGCAGTGGTGGAATCACCATCCCTGGAAGTGTTCACAAGCCGTGTAGATGAGGCCCCCAGTGACACGGGTTAGTGGTGGCCTTGGCAGTGCTGGGGAACAGTTGGACTTGGTGATCTTAAAGGTCTTTTCCAACCTGCTTGATTCTGTAAGTCTATGATTCATGCCCAGGCTGTCACACATGGTACCCCTGCTGTCTTTAGCTGTGGCTGGGCCCTGCTGGAGCTCCAAGAGGCTCTTAGTAACAGAAAATAATGTTTTTCCATGCAAAGGTCCTTGTGCAGCTGAAAGTGACCAGGTCACGTCAGTGCCGCAACCCCATCTTCAGGCTTTTCAGGTCCTCCATTTCCCCCACTGGCATTCCCCACTTGCAGGGAGAAACCTGCCCTGCTGACACTGGCTTTCACTTTGAAGTACCCCAGCAGTGATCCACCAAAAGTAAAGGTTTAGAAACTTTTTACTGATCCCTAAAATTGATCCATGAAACCAGTGCACAGTCAACAGTGAAAGGGAGTTACAGAAGTTGGAAGGACCAGTGTCTTCATGGGAGGGACTGCTTTTTGCCCTCTCAAGTGTCAGATTCCTATACTAGCTAACTTATCAAATCAGAAAATAGAAAGCCAGCTGGAATACACAGGAAGGTAGTCTCTTACTAACATGCAGAAATCACTGTTGTTTCCATCACCAAGATCTTAATTCAGGGGATAACTGCAAATTACATGGATGGGCTGCTGAGGTTAGGGAAAGGAGCATTTCTCATGGTAAAACTCCAGGACTTGGCAACTGAACTTCAGCTTGGCAGACAGGATGGCTGCATTATTTCATCCACATGTCACTAGGCAGCACAACTGTATTCAATTTCATTATTTTTATCCTGATTATTCTGTGGTTCTGGCATGAGAGATAAATACATTTCTGTCAAAATACCCTGTGCATTTCACCCATTTGCTACATTTTGTCTTAGACACGAGCATACTAAGGCAAAAGCTGCTTATTTCTAGCTATTCCTTGTATTACCCTGTAGCACAGGCATCTTAGTCCTACCTGGGGACTATAATGATGGGTCTTGCATTTTGGTATGCTTGCCTTTTTGCTGGGCTGTTATTATTTGCTTTACTGGTCACCTTCTCTTACAGCAGTCAAGAAATCCTGTTTATCCTTCCACAGGCTATGGTTTGCCTGTCAGTTTTGTGTAAGCAGATGCTATTCCTAAAGGACAAGCAGAGGGGAGTGTTATGCAGCCAAGACAAGGAAAGCAAGGTTACTTTCCAGTGGCTGTGGTTCCTAGATATGTGTTTTTGCAGATACATACATTTACAGCGTGGAGGTTTGCTCAGCAAACACTTGAGCCAACTTGCTTTTACTGAAGCAATGCCCAGAGGGGGCACACATGCTCTACCTTCCCTCCTGTTGTGTACATAATCACAAAATAGCAGCGTACTGCAGTGAGGCTTAACAACAGAGGTACCAGAAAATGAGACTTAGAGAAGGAGAAAGGAAGGAAAATAGGTATCAACTGTGCACATGGATACTACAGCTTAGAAACTGCAGCTAGTAGTAATAAACCTTCTTTTTCAAGACCCAGTCCAAAATGCTGTGTGATTTTAGTACTTCTCAGTCACACACTTCCTGGGGATGTGGAGCTGGGTCTTAAAGTCTGAAGGAAAGAAACACCAATCTGTTAAAGATACTATTGTTCCAGGGTGCCTTGGCAATCACAGAGAGCTGGTTGAAAAGGTGGTGCCCCTTTAGCTCCCTGGAGACACTTGGTATAGTAACTGGGAGCTAGTGCAGTACAGCCCACTCACCCCAAGGAACCAGCCAGGACGATTCATAGGTGATAACACACCAGTAAAAAGTGGTCTTCTTGGTATTTAGTGTCCAAAGATGACTCAGCCACAGAGGTGTGAAGATTCAGGAAGAAACCAGATGTTCATTTCTTAATTTGGACGGAATTCTGACACAACCGTTGGAGGAAATTTGGGATGAACTCAGAGAGCTGTCCTAATTGGAAATGAGTCTGTATAGCTGACAGAAGTCTCTCTGCATCTCTGTGAGGTGGAAGAAATGGCCATGAAGGTACATACAACAGGAGACGAGGACTTGAATGGCTGTCCCAGGAAGGGACCAGTGGAAATAAAGGGTCTCTGACCAGAAGCATTGTCATCAAACATTCTCATCACAACCCATTCTGGGCTGGCCTTGGGCCTTTCCTAAAAACTAGCTTCTAAAACTGAAGGCTTCATTCCCCCCCCCCCTCCCCTCCATCATCGGAGATCAATCAGACACAGCAGTATTTCTCCTCCAGCACTAGTTTGTGCCTGGAATCTCTCTTAGACCCATTTTTCATCTTCCAGTGAGCAGAGCTAAGTTTCTTTTGATCCCAGTGGACCTCTGCAAAGTTAAGATAAAACCTGACAGCAGTGATTTTCATTGTTTCAGCTTAGTAATCAGTTCTGGTGTCAGAAACTTCTGCCTGTCTGAAGTGAAAAGCATTAAAACATTGCTCCTGTTTCTAGCTCTGCATTTGATCCATCTCGACCTACTGATTTTCACCTGAGGATGCAAGTGCTGGAGAGTTCTCATCCACAGGAAGTGTTTGCCTGTGCCTTGTTCAAGGCATTGTCATAAACATTCACAAAAGTTCAGCTGGATTAAGTTAGAGAGGAAACCTCTGTTGTGGATTTACCAGGTCAAGAAAAGCAGGTTCAGTGGGAAAAATCAATGGCTCCTGCAAAGGGAAGGTCCAGCTTCTTTTTTAGGGCATGTCAAAGTTCCCAGAAAGCTACATTATTCCTCTTCACACTGAGTAAGGGTGGAAGAGAGGAGAGAGCTGGTTGATGAAAGAGTGATGCTGAAGCAGCTGGTACCAGCAGGCTCTGGTATTTGAAATCTTGAAGAGCTCCAGTGTCCAAGGCTCTGCAAGGGCTTTGACATACCCTGAATCATGAAACTGTCAGAGGCACTGTAAACATGGCTAGTATAACAGCTGGAAGGTACTACAAGGTCATGAAAAGGTTCTTACTGCAAATCATACAGGGTGTAAGCAAGAAAACAAAGGGAATTTTACGTGTTTTAAGAGAAGTTGTGCTATAGGTTTATGGCTGTGGTTCAGCTGATTCTTCAGATGAGAAGAGGGGAAAGGGATTGATACATTAGAATAGAATCTTACTAAAGAAAACATTTTCTGTTTTCTCAAATGAGCCGTGAAATATTAGTGTTGCAGTTCCAGAGATGCTGAACAGCTAAAACCAAAGTCACAACATCAAGAAATTCTCTAACTCAGGAAAGAAAGAAAAGTACTTATCAGTGGCTTGAAACACTAAGGGCAGCCATAAAAGTCCTCAAGGTTACCTTTTGATTTTCTATTTGCATTCCCTTTGTGTTTCTGCAAAGCACATAGCATGAATAGTGGGAGGAAACCAAAGGAAGATCAGACCTCAGGAGGGCAGCATCTTGTCAAGGAGACTACACACCCTTTCTGCACACAGCAGCATAGCCTGGAGGGAAGAGCTCTTGAACTGATAGCTAGGCATAAAGTTAAGTTTTCAGGTAGTTGAAACAAGGCTGGTTTGGTTTTCTTTCATCCATGATCTCCTTAAGGAGTTCTCTGGGAGAGCACCGATCTCCTCACTTTAAAAGATAAAACTTCTTTGAACTAGAGCTTATTCTCCCAGATTTTATGTGTTGCTTTTGGTGCTCTTTGCTTAACTTTATGAAATAAACTAGGTCTGTCACTTCGCTTTTAATTGTATGTAGTAATAAGTGTGATCTCAATGTGAACTAGATACATGTTAAAGATATTAAATCCTTCTTGGGATACAGGCAGAGAGGCATGCTTACAGAGCATCTGCTTCCCCAGAATGTGTGCAGAGAGCTTGGGAGTGAGAATCCCATCATCCCTGCGATGATTGCTGTCAGATAGAGCTGGAACTAACATGAAGGGAAAGAAATATCATCAGTGCTCTCTCAGGAAGCTGGAGAAAGGATGGCTGGGTATGGAGAAGAGTCATGTTTGCCACATACAGCCAATACAGAAAAGTAATTTTAAATACATTGGCCTACCAGGATCCAGGATTAGAGAGCTGAGAGGAAAAGAAGTGTTCTGGAGAAGAAGAACCAAGATGCACATGAAAGTAGGACAAAATGAAAGATCTAGCATAATTCCTGGCCAATTTACACAGAGAAGATTAAATTGAAAAGAAGCATAAAATGGTGCAACATACTAAAGATTTAATAGTAAAGTCAGTAAACATATGGGTATGGGAAAAAAACACAACTGGCAGCGCTCCACATGCTGGGACTCAGCCAAGTTATGTGAGTTGCGCCCCATAACGCTTGTTCTCACAGCAGGCGGGAAGCAGGGTCTGTGTGCATTCCCCTGACTTTGCTACAGCCTCTACCTCCAGGCTTTGCTAACCAGAGGTTCAGTGTCAGCATACACTTGGGTGAGTGCTGGGAGAAGTGGCACTTGCAGCAGGGCTACATCACGCCTCTGAAGACAGCGGCACGTGTCAAAACAGCTGAGGACTCTTACCCCTCCAGCACCATGGGTCTGGTGGCAGACATTAGGGCCAGTGTTTGTCTCACATTGACGTATAGGACCATAGAATGGTTAGTGTTGGAAAGGAGCTTAAGATCATATAATTCCAACCCGTCCGCCAATGGCAATGACACCTCCCACTAGCCTAGGTTGCTCAAGGCCCTCTTCAACCTGGCCTTATATTGCTCTGTACTGGTTT